CGGCTCCCCCCGCTCCAGCCGCCCAGCAACACATGCATGATGGCAACCTGATGCAGCTCGGCCCAGGCCACACGATGCACCGGACCCCCGGGGGTGGGGGCTGTCCGCCTTGGGGTCCTTCCGACCTGCCGCACTCCCTTTACGCGTCTCACCTACACCTTCACCCACATTCTCACCCCCAACCACATCACAGCCACCCGGGACCACACCATCAATCCCACTCGCCACATGGGCACCATCTTCTATCGCCAATGCAACTGCCGCCCTCTGGCCCCGCCTCTTCACTCCCACTTCCGCAGATATCTTCTCCACCTACAGGACTTGTCCATCAACTGCATCCCATGTCGCCCCACCACCAGCTTCCGCCCATCTCTTCACAGCCGTCGGGCCCCGGTTTCGGTGCCCCTTCCCACCTTCAGGGTCACCCACACCAACAGCCATCGCACAACCTTCACCTCGGACCACATTCCCACCATCTCCATGTGAACCATCCGCATATACCAATGCATCCTCACTTTCATGCCCAGCCACCGCCACCGCCCCCGCCTCCGGTATCCCACTCCCAGATGCATCCTGCCGGCCTTCCACCCTCGATGAACAGTGGTCCCTTGTCTCTGCCTCCGCATATGCTTATACCGAACTCGGCCAGTCTTCTCCCCTGTCGCCTCCTGCCAACACCGCCGCCTGGTCTGCAGATGCGCCAGTCCCTGCATCTCGGCTCAGGCGGACTCTACCGACAATGCCATCCTCAAGCGATGCTGCGCCAGACGGACGAGCTTTCTCTGGGCCAGGTGAGAATTTCCACAATAGTCGGACTAATTCATGCCTGTTATAGATCAGGTCTATGGGAAAAAAGGAGTTTTCTGGGTAATCTAATTCCAGTTCGAATAAAATTTCATAATGCAAAGTTTCGGCGGACAAAAAACTCAGGATTCGGAAGTCCTATATGACATGAAATACTCAAATCTCTCTGCACTGGATGTGAGAATGACACTCAAGACTATTTCAGTAAGGAGAAACGACATCTAGTAAGAGTGAAAACCGAAGTGTCCTCAGCAAGT